GCAATACGCATTTGACACTCAAAGAAGCTATCAGTTTCCTTGAAGATGACCAAATGCCTTGCTGACGAGTGTCAGCAAACAGATGACTTTGGTGAGGCAGATCTTTCTTTCGACTGCGTCCATTCAATGCGTATCCTATATATGATATGAACGTCAATACAACTTATTAACCGTTTCACTTCAATTACTTCATAAATCGTTTGTTCAGTACACATCATCGATATTATTTACTTATTCTTTCAGTTGATAATCTTTTCAGTTGACAGTTCTCATCAGAAAATGAAGTTAGTGAGAGAAGCATAGACTACATGAAGGTAGTAAGTGGATGACCTATTCTAGTTCGAAACACTTCAAAATTATGCGCCCTCAAGATCACATTTCATCCCTCTAAGGATCTTCAGTTCTTCGGCACTCGACACCACCTCGTCCACAGCAGTGAGATGGCACAAAAACAGATGACTTTTAAGTGGAAGTAGATCTCACTATATTGGCAGCCTAGTACTCATCCATGGAGTAAATCTACATAGAATTCTGAAAGATATCGCAAGAACATGTGATTTTATGGTCAATCATATTGGAGGTGTATGCGTGATGACCTATTGGAATAGTATGCGTAACTTTAACTTTTCCATGGTCATCACAGAACTCTAGTTTTCTCTAGATGGCTCTTCTGTTGTATAATTATACTTATCTCCTTAATCCCTTGTTTTTTTCTTCCCTAGGTCATTATTGTTACACGTTACTTCCTTATGTCATTCATTGTATTTTGGCTTCCTATAGGAAACAGTTCTGGATTATTCTACCCTTTCTGTTATCGACTCATGAGTTTTCGAATTATATGTTAATGACAGATAGTCCTAGGGGGAATAACATCACTCACTGAGAGGCAGGTACATCCAGCTGACGAGTTTCGAATAGGACAAAACGCTCATCCAGGATTCCACTTCTAACTACTATCCGTCATTAATATAAATTTTTCTTTTAATTCGGTAACATTTCTAAAACTGACAATAAACTCGCTACGAAAAATGAAATCAAAACCTAAATGGTGGAGAATATTTGTAGCTCAGGTGGATGGTCTTGGCTGCACTGTGTTCTCTAAGCTGCGTTGCGTAATCGTGGAGGTTTCATCGTCTTTCTACACGTTACCATCACCACCAATTTCAGAATAAAGTGAGTTGTCAATATCTCTTCGTGAGTGACCCAATAACTTGCCCTAAAGAACTTGTTTGTGATTAGTTGTTTCCTCTGATTGTTGTGTTATTGACAGACTGCATAGACTTCCCTGTTGGGGGTTCCTCTACTTGACCTCTGATCTTTCTGTTGTTTCTCATTTTTCTCATTGTTTGATACACTGGGTCTATACATCTGTTGATTGCTGACTGACTGACTGACTGAGCTGAATGCCAAGCTTATAGGAACTCTCTGATATTCTTTGTGCTTCCTCTCCCATATCCAAAATTTCTTTATTGTCAAAATTGAATTCATATCCATAGTTGTTGTCCATGTGCCTCAAAATGAGTGATGAAATGTCATTACGTTTAATAGCCAATTGGTGTTCATGTAGACGAAGGCGAAGAAGACGACCACTTTGTCCAATGCAGTGTTGACTAAAGTTATTGCAGCTGTTTTTTAAAATGATATTCGGTGTGACTTCTTTGGTTGTTGCGTCCCTTCGGTCTGCATAATATGCTTTGGAGGAATTTATGGTTTATGAGCCACATGAATTCCACCAAGTGGTATCAGCAGTGTTGTCATGATTTCTGATAATCCTTTATGTATGGTAAGATGATGCGTTTGTTGATTTCTGTCGATGACTTTGTAGTTGATGATGTACGGGATAGGCATCTTCTGATAAAGTTTCGTGGGTAGCCGTTCTTCTTTAGGATGAACATCAAGTAATTTTCTTCGTTTGTCCGTGAAGTTGTTGTACTGCAGTGTGTTCTCGTTGTTTTGACTAGAGTCTGTATCCAACTAGTTTTGTACGTTGTTGGGTTCTTGCTACTAAATCACTTATGAACAGATATTGACAGCTCATTTCATACTGAAGTTAATGCTGATGATGTCATGTAGAAAGACGATGAAAGCTCCATGATTCAACAACGTAGGTCAGAGAACACAATTCAACTAAGAAATCAACATTAGATTTGACAATAAACACCATGTGAACTATATTACCCTGAGGTATGAGTGACTAAAGTTAACGGGATCCAAGTATGAATTATAATCTATGATGGTGTTGAGATCTCTACTGATAAGATCTGAGAGTAGTCCCACTCTTCTATGCACCCACTCCACATACACACAGTAGACTTTTAGCGAATTCCAAGTCAGAGCAGTCTAATAATATTCCAGTTTCTAACATACACTAAATAGATTATTTTATTTTAGTACTACCATTTCCTTATGAAATAAAAATCAACCATTTTCTTATTGGAGGCGATAAAAATTTTATTCCCCTTCTTTTTTCATTCACTTGAAACCTTAGTTGCTTATTTATCTATTTTTATTTCTCTTTGATTTTACATCATTAAATTTGACGTGATTGTTGTAAAGCTTCAAGTAAGAATAAAGTATTATTATTGAAATTAGGTCCACATTGTAATGAATTTATGAGTGTAAGAGTTACGTTTATCTGTATGGAAGGTACATGGATGATATACTCCTTCTGTATGATAACACACGATCTATTGATGAACTAATATTATTATTATTATTATTTTTCCCTTGGTTTCCTAGTGGAACATACAGCTTCAGTAGCACGCCTCCATTCCACTCTGTCCTCTGCAGTCTTTTAAACCTCACTCCACCACTGCCCACAAGCTTCCATTTATTCCTAACACCATCTCATTCATCCATGTCACCCTCACCTCGGACGCCCAACTCGTCGTTTCCCCTTTGAATGCCACTCCACTCCAAGACCTGGCCTGGCCCGGCCTCGCCTGGTGCATGATGTCCTCAGTCGGCTCAGAATACATGGTGGACGATGATATTTGATACTGTCAGAACAAAACTCTGGAATCATGGATATCCCATAAAATTTGTTGATTGAAACAAATTTACCCTTATCCGTCTACATTTCCTAAGAAAATTTAAAGTAAGAAGATGGGAATTGAAAGTGATGCCATGGATGAAGCAGTGAAGAGCCGTCTGTTGAAGTGTAATTAGCATATTTCCGATTCTGAAAACCTACTATTAGTGTTCTAAAGCTGTCGTGTGATTTGACGATTCATGAAGGATAATTTATCACTTATGTCGATATTTCTGTGAATCTATAACGACATACTTCTGTCGAGCTCACTATATTGGACGGTGTAAGCGGGTCCTCCGAAACGCATTGTTGAAAGCTTCCTGGTCCGGCTAGCCAAAATCAAATGAAGAACAGCAGTTTCATTCGATTTGGAGGCTTGTGAGAATTTATTGACTCAAACTTAATGTTCATCACAAGCTGACATTGGTTTGAGAAATATTGGATATGTAGGAGCACTGGACATCTGTTTCCTTCTAGTATAGGACTCCTCAGCAGTAGGCACCAGTAACCCTTCCCAATAAGGGGTCCAGCCTGTGACCTTCAGGTTTCGCAGCTAGCAGTAGTTGCCACTGAGCCACTGAGTCGACATCCAGAGATCCATATTTCCTACTTCTGTCAGCTCATGATCCCTGGTGAGGATGAGGTCATGGATATGAACTGCTGAGGACTCCTGCAGTAGGACGAAAAAGGTGTTTAGTGCTCTAGGGTTTCTAGTGTTTCTCCAACCAATATCATTCCATGATAAATTCCCACTTAGGCTGAAATACCTTAAGTAATCACGTTTTCACCTTTTATGCGTAGCTTGTACATGATCAAAAGCCTCATTCATGTAAGAAAAAGCGCTTAATGTAATATCTTTCTACCACTTGAACTTAACAGTTCTTGCTTTTTTCAGTGACTAGCTTTTTATTTTGCCCACTCAAGCAGCCCTATGCACCAGGAGCAGCACCAAATGTATCGTGCGTATGCTGACTGAGAAATTTCCTGACGCAACCACTAGACATTTTACGAATTATAAATTCGATTGAGTAGCTTAATAACGAAGTTGTTGAGGTGTACCTGTTTACTCCGTGATAGAAAAAAATATCCTGTTCTTCTGATCCATTATACAGGCCGAACAGATGAGGACGCCAAAGCCAGAAGCAGAAAAGCAAGACAGGCCTCCATTCACCTTAAATCAGTGAGGAGATCTACTACACTACACTACACTACACTCTACTCAGCATAAAGTGTCAACAACATCAGGATTCTCAACACTAATTCAGTCAAGTCAGTCAGTGATTCTATGTGATGGTTGAGAGGTTTGGAGGCGTGTCACAAAAGGCATTTCCAACAAACTGCCGACATACGTCACATGAACAACTGCCGCTTACGCTCACTTGATAGTGAAGATGGAGATCAGATGGCCCGATTAATTAATACGAATAAGCAAGGAGGAACTCTGACCTGGTAACGAATCAATGAAACAAGAATCCATCGCCCAACAAAAATGCAGTGGAAGGAAGTGGAGATGGATTGGATTAAACATAGACTGAGAAGATGGTTTGGGGACATCACACGTCAGGTGAGGTCAGGTTGTTGAGTGGGAGGCAAATAGGAAACGACGAGTTGGGCGTCTGAGGTGAGGGTGACATGGATGAGATTGTGTGAGGAATAAATACAAGCTTGTGGGTATTGGTGAAGCCAGGTTAAGAAGACTTCAGAGAAGAGGGTGGAATGTTGAAATGGATATTATTCACTCATATCGACAAAGAAATAGTCAACATTAGGATGTGATGATTGAAGGTGGAAGTAGAACCTATTTCGAAGCAGTGGGATTCGAACCAATGGGCTTCGAATTGTCATCTCTCATAATCTATTAACTGATCTATGCCACTAAGCTATTTAGTCAAGATTTTCATTTCACCTACAATTTACAAAACTTTTGCCCAACTGGCTATAAATAATCAATTTAACAATGTTAACTTACTTCATCTGTTGGATCATAGTACTGTTCTAGATAGGGATGTGCTAAGGCCTCTTCAACTGTTATTCGACGAGATGGAACAAAGCACAACAGCTTGTCGAGTAAATCTAAAGCTAGAAAAAAGTAGAGAACATAATGCAGTATGATGATAGATCTCTGAAACTAATTGAAATGACACCATGTTACAGTACTTTTCGCTCATTCACACTTGTCAGACATTCTATAATAATGATAATATTAACTAAGAAGACTTCCATTAAATTGGTTACGCCTTCATTATTATTATTATTATTATTATTATTATTATTATTATTATTATTATTATTTGTCCCTTGGGTTCCTAGTGAAATATACCGCTTCACTAGCACGTCTCCACTGCACTCTGTCCTCTACTAACGTTTGAACCTGGCTCCACGACAGCCCACAAGCTCTCAATTCCTCCTCGCACAATCTCCTCCATTTCACCCTCAAACTTCCAAATCGTCGTTTCCCATCTGGGTTCCATTAGAGTGCCTCGCCTCATGCGTGATGTCCCCAGTTGGTCTTCTCAGTGTGTGCCGAATCAATCTCCACTTTCTTCCACAGCATATTTGTTCAGCGATAGCTTCTTGGTTGGTTTGTTGCCCAGACAGAGTTCCTTCTTGCTTCTTCTTCCCGCCATCTGAACCCAATAAGGAGCCAGCATAGGGGGTAGTTGTTGATGAATGTTTGCAGTTTGTTGGAAATCCCTTTCATATAACGCCGAGTCTCTGAGCCATACAGAAGCAATGACTGACTTGACTGGATTGGTGTTGAGAATCCGGATGTTGTTCACGCTTTATGCTGAGTGGAGTGCAGAAGATCTCCACACTGATTTCAGATTAGTGAATGCCTGTCTTGCTTTTCGAATCCTAGCTGCTATGACATCCTCGTCTGTGCCGCCTGTAGTTGAAACAGTGCTGCCTAGACAGGTGAAAGAGGCTACTCCCTTTAAGTTTCCCCGCTGATGGTGATTGGAACTTGTTGTTGTTGTTGTTGGTGGTGGTGTTGGTTAGGTATCTTCATCACCTATGTCTTCTCCATATTCACTTGGAGTCTCGTCTTCACTGCCCTGCCTCTTCTGTCAACTTGTCAGTTTTTGCCTGTAGATCTTCAAGTTTGTGTGATATTAGACACAAGTCATCGGAGGAATCCAAATCTTCTAGGTTCTTTTCCGCGGTCCAGCCAGCACATCGCCCTCTTCTCACAGCTCCTCACTGTTTGCTGCATGATCCAGTCGAGTCGCCGACAATCAGGAAGATCATAGGTGATAGTAGACAGACTTGTTTTTCTCCTGCCTCTCCTGCTTCACTTCAAAAGCATCACTGGGCTTCCCATTGTGGATCACTTGGCATGTGGCATCTTCATGTGGTTGTTGAATGAGGTAGATGAAGGTTTGTGACAGTAAATCGGTAATGTTGAAGCAGTTGCCAAATTACTTCTCGGTTGACGCTGTCAAAGGCCATTTCAAAGTGGATGAAGTTGAGGTGCAGAGTGGGCTGCCATTTTATACTCTGTTCTATGATGATGCGTAGTGTAGGGTTGCAATTTGGTCTGCACATGATTTGTACTTCCTGAAATCAACCAGCATGTTCCGGTCGTAGTTTTGAATCTAGTGCATCCTTCAGTCTCTCCGGTATGATGCGACTTAATATTTTGCTTGCATTGGGTGGACAGGTACAGGAGCGTGATTCCGCGCCAGATCTTGCAAACAATTCGATCACCTTTCTTCGGGAGTTTGACAATCTGCAGGTACCTTTCCTTCCTTCCAGACCTTCTGCAATAGTGGTGTGAGTATGTCCGCTATTGTCTTAATACTTGATTCATATGCATAATACAGTCAGTCATTCTTAAAGTTATTCGTCATATCAATAACTCAGTAAATAAGTCTCTTAGTTCAGCAATGATTGACACGGATTCGAACCACCAAGGGGATATTAATTTCTTTAAACTAACAAAAACGTCTTGATGGTGATTACCAATGAGCGTAGAATGTAGGTCAGATGAAGCTTCCTGTAAATTGGATTCAAATATTTAACACATACGGGGTACAATATAAATTATGTTACATGATTTACACTTCTTTCTGAAGTTTGTGTTGCTACTTTTGATATTGTCTAAAATACAAGTGAAGGCTTTACGACTGAATAATCTTTCTGACGTAGCGCAATCCTACCAAAATCACATTACATCTTTTTATAACCAATAAGGTACATCAAAAATAACGGCTTAAAATACACTGACACAATGCCTAAATACGTTTTGGATTAATTTTCTCCCACATCCACCTACATCTGAATGTTATCGGCGAGATGAAGCTAAATAGGTCAGTTTTCATGGTTACAGAATACACATCTGAACTTATTCATCTAAACAGTTAAAAAAGAGTTCAATATCATTCCTTATGTTGGTCAACATTTCTCACACTACAGGAGATACAACTGTACTCTGTTTGAAACCTTATTCAACTACTTCTACGTTTCGATCTCCACATCAATCCATTGTCTTTCGATATTAGATGTAAACACAACCTTTGTGCTTGCAAAGTTTTTCTCCTCTTTTCGACCCCAAATTCTTATGCTGACTGAGTAAGCTATCTTTGTTAAGCTTTAGCACACTATTCCGTTCGTCCCCTTAAAACTACCTACCTAAAGACTAGATGAAAACCGATCAACAATTGGTCTGAACACATCAAATGGCTTATTGTTTAATAAAATTTGATGCTATGTCAATTCAAATCCCTTCACCGTCCTTCTATGTTTCTTTTGCCTGTGTACAAGTGCCTACACCATTAGCTGCATTTTGATTCCTTGTTCATCTTGACTTCCACATCAGTATTGTGGCGTAAAGCTTGGCCAGTTGGATGGACAGAGTTATGATAGCCTCGCTTTATCTATAGCCATGGCATTATGTTCTGTGGAAAAGATTCGCTTCATTACATAATAACTGATCTTCTATATACCACGATAGCTTAGAAAAGCATTTCTGTCCTAATGCATTCTAGTTTGTTAAACTGAACTAGTGGTTGGTAAGTGGCAATGATCAGTACTTCCAGAGCTGCAAAACAATTATCGAACAAGATAAATGGTTAAGTTTCCATTTACTTAAACTTCCCACATTCCTGAGTTCATTCAATATTTAGAATTTGAAGCATATTCGATACTCACGGGTAAATTTTATCGAATTATCCCCCATAGTATCAAATACCCCACTGTTGACTGTGCTAACTGCCAAAATTAGCAGTCAAGTAACAAAACTAACAGCATAAGGATTAAAACTACTTATGAGTAGATAGATGTACTAATAAGTTAATTGTAAATATTATTTAAACTATGCTAACATTTCCATTGGGAAAATCTCAGGTTTAAAGAAAATGAATTTGAGGGTTTGTGGGGATTTAGTAATTTTTCAAGTTGGTATTCATCATGAACTGACATCACTTGGAGGAACAATGGAAACCTGGGAGGACTGGACAGCTGTTTCGTCCTAGTATGGGACTTTCCAGCAGCGCGTGTCCATGACCCCACCAGGTCCTGGGTTCGATCCCTGATGGGTTCATAGGTGCCCACTACTAGGAGTCTCATTGTAGAATGAAACAGTTGTCCACTGGTCCCAGGTTTCCAATGTTCTTTCAATTGATGTCAGTCCATGATGAATACCAACTTAAAGAAAATAACCACTTTCGGGTAGCTTGAATATTTTGACCTAAACATCAAGGTAGATCATCACAGATTACCCTGCTGTCCACTACGTACAGCCACTGATCGGTGGGAAACTGCTGAACAAAAACATTGTACTTGTCTTTCCGTCTCCTCAGGCTAGGCGATACAAAGCTGAATCCTTAAGAGCTAAGCTACGTGTTGTTGATGTGAGCAGACAGGCAAAAGACTCAAGTCATTCTGAGCTTTAGGTCAACTGCTTGCAGAATGCTTCAGTGAAGTAATGCTTAGTATTGATAAACAGCCTATAATCCAGTAAAGGAAGGGTTAATAAGAATCTAGGCAAACTTTATAGCTTGTAGAATAAGTAAACACAAAGTTAAAAATACTAATGAAAAAATCAATAACTTATATTATAAAATTCTTACCAGATTCGCTAGCATATGGATATAACTGTTTCCAGGGGACTTTAGTACGATGAGGCAGTGATTCTAAATAGGCACGTGCCTAAGAAATAAAAAATCAAGACAAAAAGAATGCAAAAAACAATATTTTTTGAGTATTGCATAAATCTGTTTATGACTGAAATTTTAAGACAGGCAAGTTCTGTTGAGAGACTTATTTAAACGCCCAAGAGAGAGAGAGAGATCGACAACCCAACGTAGGACGTGATGTAGAAGTATATCGGTTTCAGTTGTTACTCTATACAACAGCCCACATCTAAGATGTGGAGTGAAATAATATCAAAGTAAACAAAAGTGTATGGAGAAGAAGAGGATACATATATGAAGGTTAATGAAAATGTTCAAGAATGTATAGCGAATTAGGAAAAATAAACAAAGGGTTATGAAAATAAGATTGCAACTATGTAATACTGGAGTATGAAAATAAACAGGGGATTATGAAAATTAGGTTGTAATTACATAGCGCAGGTTAGGGAAATGAATAAAGTATGAAGGAAATGCATGTGTAGTTACCTAATACAAACCGAATCTATGACAGTCTAGCTCTATGATGACCATAGCAAAGATAAAGGTTGGACGTATCTTTCTTGGACGCATAACGCTGGTTTGAACTTCTTGATGGCTTAGTGCTTCAGCTATAGACAGACGCCTTGATCTTAATCAATTCAAGTGGTTTGATCGAACCATGTAGAGAATTTTGAATGAGCGCCTGGAAGGAGCTAAGCAGCCTGAGTTCACGAGGTGTTCTGTTACTGGATTGAAAATACATTTCCGTTGTCGTTTTACCACTCAGACTGAGTAGTGTTCGCAGATGATGATGACCAGTAGTGTACAGATTTGCATCATTATGACAGGTATTAAACCACTGATTTCTATCATTATAAAAACTCAAGTCAGGCTACCTATATCTCTTTACGTGGTTCGAACCAGCAGTCAGACTCCATGGACTAGTCTGTCATCAGCTTTCAATGATTTTAATTCTACTTCAGGCTAACATTACAAGTCAAGATACACCATAGCTTGGCATATGCAACACATGTCTAAGCCACTTTAATCAGTGAAGGCTTAGCACGTCATCGGTTAGCCTATCTTCATTTCCTAGGACTTTTACATCAAACCTCGACATTGCTCATGTAGTAATTCTACTACATATGAGCAATGCTACAAATATCTATTGTTAAAAATCTGAAACTTCTTCATATAACGTATCACAGGCTACTTTGCACAGCAAAACAACAGGACAAAAGAGATTACTGATATGCAGTTGGATATCAATGTTCAGTTACATATAAAATTTAAATAAAGCTCTGATTCAAGGAACAGTTGTCATTTACAGTGAACACAGCTGCAAAATAATTCGAAGAAACACAATATATAAAGGGTAATGGTCACCAACTGTAGTCACTGACGGTTTTTTCCCTCTTCAGACAATGTCCATGAAACCAGAAAGAAACATATGTTCATTACTGATGAACCATTCTAAAGGTGTTGACTTCAGTCCAGTTTTTAAGATTATCATAAGTGCATTGACAAAATCCTAGAGTTAATGATAGTCATCTCATCTAAGAGTACTTTTTCTGTGATACATGTACATAATATCTAATATACATAAGCCATTATTTCACCCCTTTCTATATAACACATGTCTATTATAGCATAATTTATGTTGTTAGCTTTTCAATACTCCTACAGATTAAGGATATTTGAATAGAAATACTCAAGAACATTAGGAAGAAATAATAATCTTCTCTCTCCATATTTATATCACTGCGTAAGTGTAAAAAAAACTGAAGATTAGTGAAACAAAAAAAGATTAGGCTTTCTAATGAGTCTATTTCATTTCGTCAAGAAAGTACCTAGATGATTTCACGATAAACAGAGATCAGATAGAAAGACAAACAGACGGATAAAATGTATTGATTGGTCACGGGAGTGCAACCAATTTCATGTTGTCTAGTCTGAGTGCAGACCGAATCCTATCGATCATATTTGCAACGTGGCAACCAAGCTAGGAAGCTCAGCATCGCGGTGCACATTAGTAGACATTAGTTGGTTGGAGGCAATCGACAGGAAGCCCTGGACCTAGGTTTCGTGCTTTTTGGCACTCATCAGCAAGGCGTATCTGCAACCTCGACGGAACTGATGTCCCACCTGAGATTCTAACCCGCATCACCCAGTGTTGTAGTCAGTGACTTTACCACTGAGCTATTCGGGCCGCGACTGACCCCTGTAGCACTGGCTTACAGATAAAATCAACAAAGAACCTTGAAGAGAAGTGCATCACTTCAAGTTGCTACTCTTCACAGTAGCATGCAAAGAAGAAGTGGCTAGAAAAAAACTGAAACCAAAGTCGACAAAGGTGTATGGGAGAGGAAATAATTTGAAGATAAGTGTCAGACTAAATTTTCAAAGCTAACAAGAAGTCACAGAGTGAATACATCTGCCCCCACGGGACTAAACTTCAAATAAATAGGCCAACGGTCACTAACCGTAGATTTATATTATCTCAAGGACGGCAATCAGGCAGTTCATACCTCCCAACAGTGTTCAGATAAACATTCAGAGAGTTTATAAGTTTGCTTCCAAGACATCCCTACCTCAGCTAGCATTGCATATCAGGGTAGACACTGCCTCAGCATACGCTACACATTTCAAAGCCACATCAGTCACTGAAAGTTGACATCCTCATCCATGCACTTACCTGTCTTGCTAAGTATCGTTTGCCAAACCCAGACATTACTCACACGATGACTTCACCACATGTGAGCAATGCTGCAAAGACACATATGTTCAGAAACCTGTAATTTCCCCATAGCTTCTACTTTTAATGGTCATGTCTCACACCCATATAACAGGACAGAACAAATTGCACAGCAGTATACTAGTGCTTTAACAGATATCTGGATATATCGCCGGCGCCGAAGATCACGTACGTTGGGAAATGCCGAACAGGATTTCTGTATTCGACCAGCCTGTCCCAGCAGACGTAACTCTTTAAGCAAGGGAAGTGGCCAATGCACCACTTTACTTTGTTTCTTCTCCGCAGACTGAGAGTAACTGTAGACTTAAGTAATATGACAGTCCAATGGGGTAAACTTTATTATTTTATGCACAGATATTGTAGCTTTTCGGGCAAAATTATTCTCCAAGTCATTCATCACGCATGCATACACATCCACACTGAATGGAAATTATATGCATACAGAGAGATGTATGCAAAAACACATACAAGAATTGACAAGCTGGAAATGACAAGTTTGTCTCGACAACTTGTAGACTAACTAAATTATGAATAATGACTGCAATTATTCATTAATCACATGATAACAAGTGATACAATAGTAGAAACAATTAGTCCCTTTCATGAATTTGGATAACGTCGTAATTAGAAGATGTAGATTATCTGAAAAATATGTAATGTATTTGCACTATACATTCCGAACAATCTGATCAGACAATTTACTTATTTAACCATGTATATAAAAACTGGAAGTCGAGGGAAGGACAAATATGACATAAAGGAATACAATAATGAAAGGAAAAAAGTGATAAGATTTGAAGACAACCTTGGTAATACTATAAGCTTAGTATTACCAGGGTAGGTGTAGAGTAAGGATAAACTGTTTTTGTATACACAACGGGGGGTTAAATTAGTTTATGGCTAACTCTTCAACGAACCTAAGTATACGTTCCTGATAGTTTCTATAGAAAGGCAGTTTCAACATCAATTCTCTGATGTTTATCAGCATTACGTTTTTTAATAGCTCCACCTAGTTCACTAGTGAACTAGTGAACTAGCCCGGATAAAAAGGAAGGTTGGGCATAGGGCTAGCAACCCTACCCCGGAAAACCAATCCAGTCGCTAAAGAAACATCAAAGCACAAAGAAAACATAAGAAATAAAAATAAACTTATTTCTCCCTGGAATCGAGGAGACGAAATGACGCCGATTGGTGAAGGCCTTCGGGAAGTCAATTGGCTGATATGTCTTCGCCTCTCTCCATGAAAGCCAAAATAAACATGGGGACATGGAATATCCACAGAAAATTGAAACTGAGTGAAAGAGTTAAAATGGAAACTGGCTGACTGGCAAGGCTGCCCAGATTGCAAAAGAAATGAGAAGATATAGCACAGAAGTGCTAGGAATCTGCAGATGGAATGGAAGTGGACTCTTCAAACTGTCAACTGGAGGGTCAGTAATCTACCCCGGTCACCCAAACGACAACCACGAGCACACTGAATTTCCGAGTGGCTATCATGATGTTCCCAACAGCATCGAAAGCTTTCATCTAGTGGGAACCAACCTCCTCCCGCAGGATCATGACAGTAGGATTCAAATCCAAAGGATGGAAAGGTACATTCATACTATGCTACGCACCTACAAATAATGCTGATCAAGAGAATGAGGAGAAATTCTGCAGACAACTGCAATCAACGCTGGACAAGACCCAAGATGGCGGTTGGTGACATGAAAATTCTAGTGGGTAACGTGAATGGAAAAACTGGGATCGGACAACCCACGAAGAGAACTGATCATAGGTCGAGAAGTGCTAAGTGAAATGAACGAGAATGGAAAACTGTTTTCAGATTTCTGTGCATTCAACAATTATGTGATTGGAGGCAATGTGTACAAACACAAAAATATTCACAAGGCAACGACATGGATCTCACCAGATGGACACACTGAAAACCAAACCTACTTCATCGCAATCTGAAGAAACAGGAGACGTAGCCTACTGGACTCAAGATCAAGAGGGAGAGTAGATGTAGGTTCACACCCCTCACTTCACTATTTAGTGCAAGGAACCTACCTTCAAAATCAAGTTGAATGCCTTCAGAGAAGCTGATGGTAGACCACAGTTCAAGTTCAAAACCCACAACAGAAACTCAAGGACGAAACCACAAAGGACATCCTCACACTGTCAGCCATCAGGAAAAAATGAGTGACATCGAGCGACATCCCTGAAGAAGCCTGCGTGGGTGAGCGCTGGAACTCTTTCAAACAGATGTGGAAAGAAACCTGCATACCCGTATTAGGGAGGGA